TTTGTACCTTCCTGCATATTCACCCTTCCTCAACCCAATAGAGGAGTTTTTCTCTGCCTGGAGGTGGAAAGTGTTTGATCATCACCCACATGACCAAATGTCTCTTTTGGACTTCATTAAAAAAAAATTAATATATACACACACACACACGTTACTGTTTGATTTATTTATTTTTAACACACACACACACACACACACAAACACAAACACACACACGCTTACTGTTTTGTTTATTTATTTTTTTAAATATATTTTTATTTTTTTAACACACGCACACGCTTACTGTTTTAATTATTTATTTTATTTTAATTTTTAATATTTCTTCATTTTTTTTTAACACAAACACATATACGCTTTGATTACTTTACGCTTTAATTACTTGTTTAATGAAATGTATGGGGTTGATTGTTTTTATGTTGTATGTATGATGCTTTGCCAATATTGTTGTTACACATTAATGCCAATAAAGCTAATTTGAATTGAAACATTGCGATAGGTGGTGGTCTTGACAAACTGTTATGTTTCTTTTAGGGATGGGTATTAAATGAGCACCAGGGATACATTTTTAAAGATTGTAATGTTGGTATTGATAAGCTGTAACATTACTGGTTCTTTTATCTCTGTTTCTTAAGTTTTGGTGTAAGTTAGTTTAATATAATGCTGCGGCATCTGCCTCATACACACCAAGCAAAGTCAGCAGACCTTAGTGCTGAAATGGAGGTGGGGCCAGTAAAGTGAACCAGGTGGAGTGTATTCCACTTAAATAATAAATACATTCAGTCATTTAACTCATGCTTTTATCCAAAGCGACTTACAATTGCTATATATGTTAAAGGTGGCACACCTCTGGAACAACTAGGACACATCGATGGATGTGTCACAGCTGAAATCGAATGCAGGTCTCTCACACCAAAGGCATGTGTCGCATCCACTGCTCCACAACCAATAAGTAAGCTCATTACTGTATGTAGACTTATTTAGCAAGTTTAGCTTTTGGCTGTAGTTTATCTAAAATCTTACTCTACTTGTTATTCACAGATGTAGTAAAACCAATGTTCCAAAATTATGTGGAATTGCATATTTCTTTAATGGAAAATGTTTACATTTTACACCCTGCGAAAGCTTGTTTTAATCACCACGGACATTATTTTTATTATTATATCTAAATGTACCTGCTTTGCACCTGCCTCGACTTCTCCCTGCACTGAGTGTGTGTGTTCTCTAAATTAAATGGAGTTTAGTACAAACAGTAACTGCATTAGTTTAAAGGCCCGACCAGAATCTCGGTGACGACTCAGGGCTAGTTGGTGAACTTATTTAACTGGCGAGTTAACTAACGGCTAATCAGTTTGGCTAGTGCTAAGTAGGGCTGGGGATCGAGACCCGGTTCCAAAATTTCTCAAAACCCGAAAATCAGTGAGGTCCGAGTTTATCAATACTGCTATTGAGACTCCTATAATGTAACGTTATGTCTCGAGCATCTAATCTGATTTATCTTGAGACAAATAAGAAAAGTAATGTTGGTACCGAACTGTTTATCATCAGGCTGCAGCCTCTGCTGCTCTCTGTCGGCTCCTACACACACACACACACACACACACACACACACACAGATCCAGATCTGAATGTTTCTCTGTTTCTCAGATTTGAAAAGTGAAGCCTCAAACCTGCATTCTCTCTAACAGCCCGCAGGGGGCGACTCCACTGGATCGTATATGGTCTCAGTCACTAGTTTCAAGTGTTCTTCAACACAGCATGATGTTCATATAGTAAATTATGGTCCCATTTAGAGGAAAATAGACCAGAAAGCAGGGGAGGCTACCTTGTGATTGACAAGTCGCTATGTGTGACCCAAATATGGTACCCCATGGATGTTCAGTCTGTGTTCAGGATGAAGCTGAACAAATTTTTCTCTCAGCTGGAAAGGTAGGCTGGAATAAAATACAGCTGCTCCTTACTTTCTATAAATTGAACTAAAAGAAGTTCTGTTAGCTTCCTGCTCAGCTTCAGTCTGAAGATGAGATGTTTGTTAATCTGCTTTACTTCTCCAGCTGTTTGGGAACAACAGACTTGTTGTTCTGGAGAAGCTGAAGCATTTATTACCTGACACACCGACACCGTACTTTTACTGCCAGAATATTTTCCTCCTTTCACTGTCACTTTCTGTCACTCGGACAATCAAACACTCTTGAGACCACCAGATTAAAGGAGCTGTTCTGATAACAGAACCTGTCAGGTAGACATCCTGCAGGGTTTCCGCAGGGTCTTAAATTCTAAAATTTCACAATTTAAGGCCTTAAAAAGTCTTAAAGTCGCTAAAGTTTGTGTTCTATGTCTTAAGTCATTTTAAACGTGTATTTATTTTCCAATGCCCATGTAACGCTACCTCTAATGCTCATTAAAATGGCCCCACAGCGCTCAAGAATGCTTTTTCCTCCCGTGGTGGTGTAGTTCTTTCTGACTGTCGCTAGTCCAAATCGGTCCAAATATAATTTGCTGTATTACGACTAAAAAGGCCAACAGGCAGCTTTTGTGTTATTGCTGCAAGTCTCTTTCGGATTGTAAACTTTCGGATTACTTTGTCACCCTGTGTCACTGAGATGCTACTGCCTAGCTCTGCAAAGACTGTATTTGCTGGATCTTCAGAGACTGAGTAAGCCAGCTTTCCAGTGACATTGCTTTCCAGCCCACCAAAGATTCAGCTATCAGGCATTCCATAGACAGCTGATCGGTGCTCCTGAAACTCAGTCAGAGTTACTTCATGTGCTACTACTGTTATGTGAACCAGAAATGCGGCAACAAATTGACTGCTTCAGGGGACTTTGGTTTCCCCGGAGAGGCACTTGTTTCTGGCCCCCTCCTGCAACAGCAGGTCTTGGTGCCGGAACTGCAGCATTCCCCAGTCCAGAGCAGCAGCAACGCCTTGACCCTGAGGAGCATCTGACATGATTAGTCATTACTGAGTTGCAACCTGCTGACTCTGCTGGGCTAGAGCAGCTTTCTGACTCTGTTTTGCTGCCACAGCCCCCTGTTCCTACTGAGCTACTGCAACAACACCCTGTCTCTGCTGAGTGGCAGAAACCTGCAGCCCCTAAAGTGCAGCAGTCATCCCTGGTTCCTCTGGAGCTGCAGTCGCTGTCACCCGTCTTCAGCACTTTTGATGGTCTCCAGCCCAGTTGCCCTGTTGCCCGGTCTGCAGCCCAGATGCCCTGTCATCTGTGTCTGGTCTCCATCCTCTTTGCCGCCGGCCTCCTGCTCAGCCTCCTGCTCAGCCTCCTGCTTAGCCTCCTGCTCAGCCTCCAGAGGATCATCTTTGGCCACCTGTCCAGTCCCTGGAGGGTCTCCATCCTCATTGGAGGCTTCCTGTCTGGCCTTCTAAGGGCCTCCTGACATGCTCCATCTTTGCTGTCGGTTTCCTGGACCTAAGAACTCTATGCCTGTGTTCCTGCCTCTGGACTCTTGCCCCCTTCCAGACCCCTCCCTCTGTTCACCCTGCGTAAGTTAGGACATTTGTTTTTTTGTTTCTGCGGGAGAATTTTCTGTTTGGAACCCCAAATTGCTCTCGGTTGCTGTGCCATCAGTGTGTGAATGTCAATGTATATTATTTCCGTTCTGATGTGCAGTTCGCACCTTGGCCTCTGCCATCAATTTTTGAGTCTGTGTGAATGGGTGAATGTGAAGTAGTGTAAAGCACTTTGAGTGATTGCAAAAACTAGAAAGGGGCTATACAAATACAGAACATTTACCATTTGTTTTTGTTTTTTTATTTCGACATGTTGTGTTTTGTTTAGGGGTGGCCTGGTGGATAGCGCTGTGACCTTCGCAGGGTTCAAACCCTGGTTGCCCCACACTTTCTGTGTGAAGTTTGCATGTTCTCTCTGGGTGCTCCGGCTTCCTCCCACCGTCCAAAGACATGTGGCCTACGTTGATTGGTGACCCTAAATTGTCCTTAGTTGTGAGTGTGACTGGTTGTTTTTCTCTGTGTGGCCCTGCAATGGATTGGCAACCTGTCCAGGGTGTACTCCGCCTTTCGCCTGATGTCAGCTGGGATTGGCTCCAGCCCCCCACGACCCTGTACGCAGGATAAGCTGTTGACGATGGATCGATGGATGTGTTTTGTTTAAATAAATATCAAGAAAACAGATTCCAGCCATGTTAATGTCTTGCGTTTGAGCCCAAAACCTGTATTACACTTGGCGTATCTATGACAATACTTCCTCTCTGGACAATCTGATTTCTCACTTTTTTTCTGGGTTTTTTATTGATTTTGGTCTAAAGTTGAGTCAAGATGTGTTTGAATTCTAACGATAACCATTTAACTGAATTCCTTGGGCCGGATATAATGCAAAAAATGTGCTCATTGGCCTCTGTATGTTGTTTACTCCAAAAGTCATGCTGTGAGATTATGTCAGCCTGTTACCAGGCAGAATTTTAAATATACACTTCAAGGATTAAGAAAAAGACAGTGGCGAAAAAAAGACGCTCTGTGCACGTGGACCTTTGTTTCCTTCTGAACTAGTTACTCTGTGTGAAACACAGTAATCAGATTACTCTCTAGTCATCAGGTTACACTGTATGATCAGATTACTGCACTACAAATACTGGATGTGCCATAAAAAGATGTATATATATATATATAATATAACTTTTATTTATCCTGCAATAGACTCGTCATCATAAAGCCTGTCAGTATGATAACCAGTCCATGCAATGGATACAGTAACTCAAGAATCATAACACATACCCAGATGCCTCTCTATTTGTGATTCACGACAGTACAGTATAGAGATATTTTTTCACATGTCTCTAAGGAAAGTTGATTTCACTGTGAAAAATCCTCTACAGAAACAAGCAGTTACAACATTTTTTTTTCACAAAATGTACCTGTAGGTACAGAATGTACCTAAATGCAATAATCAATTTGGGACATGGTTGTCAGAGAAGTGATGAAGATATTATCACGCTTCTACAACTGCTTATTTGAAATTAAACAATTCACATCATGCATGATACATAATACTTTTATCATAAACTTGTCAGATGAAACAGTGGAAGGCATGCTTTGTAGGAAGACACAGAGAAAGGTAAGATAAAGACGGCTAAAACGTTGGTTTCTAAAGATCCTTGATCCTCACAGCAACATATAAGGAAGATCAGGGACAGATCATTTTCAATATGCAAAACAGAAACATCATATATGGCTCATACAGTATCTTATTAGGCTTATACACTGGCAAAGGACTCATTTACCTTTATTCTAATCAAACCAGATTGGGCCATTTATCCAATATTTTAGGGAAACTCATAATTTTGAAAGATTTACGATTAAAGATTTAAATCAGCCCTGCTGTGCTTTGGTTTGTGCCACACACTGTATCATACACACAGTTAGACCTCAATGTAAGAAGCCTGACGCAAGCAGAGGGATGACTCTGAAGGGATGTCCTGGCTACTGATCTCGTTCCCGTCCAGTCGCAGAGTCTGCAGTTTGGAGAAGTTGGTCACATCAACAACGCTGCAGAAACTACCCAGCGTGAACTCTAGAGGGATGGAGAGGTGGAAAAGAATTAATTTCTGTACACATACAGCAGCGTTGCTATATGTCTTCCCAAACTACTCCAGTAAAAACTACTCCAAACATCCAGCATCTTAGCACCTGGCCTATATATCAGTAAGGAAAATTTAACTGCTATACTTATATAATATTTTTAACTGTAAAATGATAGTCTGCCTTATTGGGGGGTGTGATTAGGTTGGAGTGACAGCGGTCTGGAAACATCAGCTCTATATGTGTCATCTGTTATCACCTTTCCCGCCCACTTTAAACCAGTGAGATGAGCAAATACAAAATCATTAAATCTCTCATTTGAAACAACCAAAACTTTTACAACTTTGATAGTTATTACGTGTTTATGTGGAACCCCCGTTGTTCATAGAAAGAAGCTGATAGATGTTGTCAGGACCTTTAATAGCTTTTTGAATATGTTTTCTATGCAAATGACAAATAAAACATGTATACATTTTACCTTTGATCTGGTTGGCTTGCAGATAGAGATGCTGTAGTGTGGTGCTCACTGTGGGGATTCTCTCTAGTTTATTGAAGCTCAGGTCCAGCTCCACCAGCCCAGTCACATTGAAGGTGTTGGGAGGGATTCCCTTGTCTGTTAGCACGTTGTGGGCCATCCTGACATACTGCAGCTGAGTGAGACGGCCCAGAAACCCCTCTGGGAGAGAGTCAATAGAGTTGGACTCAATGTAGAGTTGGTGCAGATGTTCTGGGAGTGCCTCTGGGACCTGAGACCAGTTCATGAAAATATTGTGGCAGCACTAGAGATAATACATTCACTTCAATTGCAAACACACAGATGCACACAATTACCTTTGTCAACTTGTTGCCACTGATGTCCAGCAGTGTGAGGGATTTCAGAGCCTTCAGTGATGTGCCCATGTCCATGACAGCGTTGTCATGGAGATACAGGACAGTGAGGTTATCCATTCCTCCTAGGTCTGCAGGCGTTACCTTGGCAACAGTTGAACATTTATTAAAGTTGAATGTCTCTGATGTACAGAGCATGAATATCAAACTATGCAAAATATTACCTTTTTAATCTTGTTGTTGTTGATTCTCAGGTCTCGCAACGTGCGAGGGAGGTTTGAAGGTATACTGGTCAAATTGTTGTGCTGTAGATATAAACGCTCAAGTCTCTCCAATTTCAGAAATGCCTGCAAACATGATGTGAAGAATGAACAACTCACTAGCATCCACATAATGCCTCAAAAGCAGAGAAAATCTAACTGAATCATTTTTATCACCTTTTGCAGTCAAATACAATTAATTATTAACAGTTTTTATTACTAAAATATATTTTTGTTCTTTTTCTCTCTGTGTCTGGAGGGGTGCGTCCATGACTGTGTGTGACTGACAGCAGCTGACAGGCTGAGCTCCGGCAGGCGAATGACAGGCCAAGTAAACACACTTACACTTGCACTCTAGCAACAAGCCATGGGCAAAAACTAGCAGTGATGTTGAAAAGTAAGGACCACACCACCATCAAAACTGACCTCAGTGACATTTGTATACGTTTAAATCCCCATGTTCACTCAGTAAAAAGCGAGAAATTTTGGACACCCAGTGTAACCAGTGTCTGCCCATGATGGAACAGTGACGTTACTGCTTTTTTGCTTTATGTAAATGTCACCGGGGTGACGTGTGTGTGAGAGAGATTGGAGCTGAGGACGCCATCAGAGACACGAGGAGGGGTCGGAATTTGTTCCCCCCTCCTTCCCAGAAAGTAACTCTCCCACGCCTCTCTGGTTGCGATTATCTACTGTCCCCAGTGAATAAGCTGCCACTTTTTAGTTGGGTTTTATTATTTTTAGCATTTGGAGGAACAAGCCAGTACGCTGCTGATTCTGGTCCTAATTTTAAAGCCCAATTTTTATGTACTGGCATCATGCCAGTAGTTTTGCTTGGGTGTGTGGTTTGGGGTTTTGATTTGTGTTGCTTGCATTTTTGATTTGGTTGTTTACTTGCATGCACATTTCTGTTTGAAGTTTTATATATGATTAATTAACCCTAGCGGAACTATTGTGGGGAACTTTGTGACTGCCAAGCATCTTGTCACCTAGGTTACTGCTGACTACTACTGAGAGCAGGAACGAGCAGCAAGAGCAGAGGAAGGGAGTTGGTGGGCTGACGGACTGGAAACTGGGATTTTAAAGACCAACTACTGAGGGCTGGACAGATCAAGGCTTGCCCAGTGCCTTTTATTATGAACTCTTATTATTTTTAGGCTTTTTGATGAAGGGATTTTAGTACTTCATTGTTTACCTTTTTTTTTTTTTTTTAATAAAGACACTGGCATTGGTTTTATAAACTGTACTGGTCTGAGCCTTGTGGTGTTTCGGTGCAGCCTGTTTCCCAGCAGAAACTTACCAAAATTAAGTTTAAATAGTTTATCCGTCTAAGTAGAGAGAGAACAATGCAAAAACAGGGGGCGCCATTATGAAACCAAAAAAATATAAATGGTTGGTTTTAGAACACAGGACATGAGTTACTGAGCAGATATGTATGATGTAGCAGAGAAAAAACCTAAGAACCCCATTTCCAGCAATAAAATGATTACCTTTGTAATAATAGCCTGTTAGCCATCTGACAACTATTTACACCACCATCACTGCTTCATACTCTGAGCTTACATATGCTTCTGACTGAGACCAGATGTAAGTTTACCTTCTTGCCAATGGCGTCAGATGTCAGCTGGTTGTAGTGCATCATGAGCCACACTAGATTGGTTGCACTGACTAGAGCTGAGTCGGGCACAGCTGTGATGGCATTATTTTGGAGGTATAAGTATTTCATACGGGAGGGAATGGTTGGCATGGCTGTCAGGCCCCGCCCATCACAGTACATGGCGACTGGGAAGGAGGGGGGACAGTCACACTCATCGGGACACTCCCTTCCTCTGGTTTCTGGCAGCAGGGCGCTAACACTGTATCCTGAGCCTTGATTGCCGTAGAGCCAGTCGAAAGCGTCCCGTTGGGGGAGAGAGAGTGGAAGCAGGGCAGACAAGAAGAAGACAGTCACCACACGCATGGTCACAGCCACACAAATCTTCACTATGACCTAACAGAGAAAAAGCCAGAGAGACAAGGTCACACACATGTTTAAAATATAAATATAGTAATTCACAACAAAATTATTTTGTTAATGGGACTTATGCAACAGATATAGCTCGGAGTAAACGGATGTGGGGTAGGGGGGGATTTGCAAAAATTGAAGAATAAAATGTTCATTAAGCCACAATAAAGTCTATACATAAATATACTCTCACGCCTTTAGAGAGCAAGCTGATACTCTTTAAGTATATGTTTTTCTTAATACCACAAACCCAAACTCTCTGTTGATATACGGAGATTAAATAAGGTGCAGTGCAGCTACTGACTTGGTTTAGACACATAACTGCCTGCAGAGAGGTGCATTCTTAGGGGTCTTAATCCACAGGGAATCCAGAGAGGAAGCATTTGAAAAAGCAAAAACCTAGCCATGAATGCCAGCTTTGTTAACAGTTCTCACTGCTGCCACAGAATTGTGGATGCTAAAAACTATCCAACAATTACCTTCTTTTTTACAAAAGATTAAAAGCTTAAACAAAAATATGACCAATATCATGTGTTTGTTCATCTCCTATAAGGTTTCATAGAAAAATACCATAGAGACCAGCAGACACATGTTCACACACACATGCATGTACAAACACACACACCTACCTGATCAGAGAGACTGGCCCTCCTTGTCCCCTCTCTCTCTGAGAGTGTGCTCAGGACTGGAGGGGACTCCAGACAAACACTTTGCCCGAAGTAAAAACTTTCCTCCCCTCCCTGCTCTCTTTTCCGTTCTGCCATCCCCCCTCTCCACCCTCTCTCTCGTCCTTCACTGTTGCTTCCATCCACCCACCTGCACCCCATTTTATTCGTTCAGGCATGGCCCAGCACACCCCACACCCCACTCTGGAGCCCCTTTTTCAACTAATGTGAGTGATGTGAAATGCATTGGCTGTGAGGGATTGTTCCCATCTGTGCAGCACATTCAGTCCCTGAGCCCCATTATTTCTTCAATATTTAGACTTTATCCTTTGTTTTTTCACCCTTTTGGCTCACTGGATCACAAGTGCTAAATTATTAATCTTTTCTGAGCAACGCAATACACGTCACACAGGAGTAAAGACTCCCTCTATTGTTGTTACAGCATGAAAATAATGAGGGGGTACAGTGAGATGGACTGTGTGTCTGTGCAATTGGGCTTAAATGATATAAGTGTAGTAAATTGTCATTGCAATGAGTGGACTGTTGAGTGGACTGTTTGTTGGTAAATAATGGGGAATCCAAAACCCTGGTAACTAATTTTCTGCTTACCGTAATTGAGAGTGTGAAAAGCATCTGTAAAGCACCATGTCATTGTTAAAGGTGATTTCAGCATTTGACTAATTATCTAGCAGTCATATACTCCTGACAGTACTAGGGTAAGCGACAAAACAATATTATACAAAGAAGATTGTTTTTCTTTCAGACATTATTTAGACAGATAGACTAATAATTACAAAAATCCTTTAAATGCCCTTCTGTCCACTTAGCAAAGATCCCTGTGCCAGAGACAATGTTTGTAGCAGGGGTTGATCCATCTCTCTCCATTGCTCTCCAACAACCTTACATCTTGTAAAGGGTTAAATGGAAACATGTGTGACAGTCCTCTCATGTTGTCTGTCTGGTCTTAATGTGGGCCCCTTCCTGCCTTTTCTCTGACACAAGCTCCATCTGAATCATTGTTTTTCACTCCCTTTTATCTTTCATCTCTGTAAACAGTCGCAGCTTCTCCAAATTATTGTATCCCCTTTCTCTTCTCTTCTCTCCATCTCCTTCTCTGTTTCTTGCTATCATTTTATAATATTACAAAGGAGGAGTAGTGTAACTGTTGGATAGATAGCTAAACTTGTTTGCACAGGATGTGTCTGGGATGCATTTGCTTTCAAATATTCAACACATGGAAATATTCTGTGTGAAAAATATCATATCAATACCTGATCAAAAGCAGCACTTAGAACATAGCTCCCTTTGAATGTGTTTTATGTTGAATAAACCCACTGCCTTGTGTTTCCTCCAGATAGCCACGTAAGGTACGTGTAGAACATTTTAACTATGATTACACCTTCTGCATATTTCGCCCTCTGCAGTGCAAAAAACGAGGAATGGTCTTTGAATATGTGGCGGTGGCACACTAAATGTGTAAATGTTCACAATGGGGATGTAATTGGTGGCAAAAGGAAGAGCTGTGGCCCGTTGACTCTTACCAGGCTATTTGCCTTTTTACCAGGTGTTAGATGAGAGGATCAGTCAGTTAGGCACTGTACGAAAATTATTGGTGTGCTGAGGTGGCAATGCAGGGTTGTTAATGTTTTTTCGGAAGCCTTGTCTTGACTTAGAAACAACCAGCAACACCGTCCCCTCAACATGTAAGAATAATATGGTCAAAATAATATTATATATAAAGTGTCAGGGCTACAGCTAGTTTAACCATCTACCCCAATTTAGACCTTCAGATCTAAATGGAAGTTCTAATGTGTGAAAGACCCTCCCATGCACTCCCATAAAGTCAGAAAACCATATACCTTTGGCCGAAAGAAGAATACCCTCCTCTTTTTCTGAACGCTTTTCTCCTCCTAGTGTACAGCCCCTTAGCTGAGCATAAAATTTAGAAACTGGGTTAAACAGCTAGCCTGGCTCTGTCAAAAACAAATCCATTTATGAGCACCTCTAAAGCTTGATGTGTAACATGTTTCTGACTTCCTGAAGTAAGTTTGCCTGGTTTGTTTTTCCAGTCCTTATGCTAAGCTAAGCTAACTTTCTCCTGGCTGTAGCTTCTGTTTCACAAACATGAGAGTGGCATAAATATGTTAATCTATTTGCAAGAAAGCAAGTAAGCATATTTGCCAAAATGTTGAAATATTTCTTCATGTCTGTTACATTGCTTTTAACATTTATCCTAGAACTGCATCATCTCTGAGTGATCAAAAAGCAGTCCTGTCAACACTTTTCATAACTAAAGTATCTCTGAAGAAACAGCATAGGAAAGTGTCCTTTGTAAACTGGCTTGTTGTCTTACACGTGTTATTTGAGTTGGTTGTTACTTAGTGTAGCCATAGTGTCTGATGTCATAAAAGGCTTCATACATCAGAAAAGGGAAGAAAGGAACAACCAGATGGCCACATTGCAATACAGCAGAGCTGAAGACCTGTAGTGGTGAGGAAATTGTAACGGAAAAGATTGTGACTAAAGAGAAATTGAACACTGGCATGAGTCCCAAAAAGGAGGGACAGACAGAAAAATAAAGCAATACATTGCAGTTTGTTACTGCAGCATCAGAAACCTTTTTTCTGCTAAGCCACTCCTTAACCAGGTCCATCCAAAACTAGCTTTACTAACAAGGTCAACGCTCAGATAAGTGTAAAGAAACGTCAACAGAGACGTGGCTGTGGATTGAATTAATGGAATATTAAAGGGGCCACATATATTTTAATGAAATCACTTAACAATAAATCACTTTTTTACTGCCTATTTGCTATTTGTGAACAGGTTGTAACCTCATATCAAAATGAAATAAAGTTGTTTTTTCTGCATGATCACTCCTAAGCCACTTGCCTACTGATTTTGAACTGCACAGATAGCAACAACACTGCAGCTAACAAAATGGAGTCCGCTAACACCAAAGAGTGACCAGCTCTCAGCACAACACAGACTCCAACACAAACTCCAGGTAAGAATAAAAAACAACAACAAAGTTTTATCTGCTGAAGTCTGTTGGGCCAAACGAGAACATGGTCAACGAGATGGCTTTCATCCTATTGGACAGGTAAACTAAAATTACTGCAAAGCATGTGAAACATAATGTGATTTTGTCCTTAAGCTGGCTCAAGTTAGATAATGTTAACTTTCTTATCTGTTACAAGAGATAGTTGTAATATTATGGCGACCCATATTACTATACTGTGAACCAGTATTATATCAAAGTGTTGATTTTAACAGAGTCCTGTAACAACTTACACTGAAACAAAACTATAAACTCTACACTTGCCTCCATTCTTCATGAGCTGAACTCAAAGATCTAAGACTTTCTCTATGTACACAAAAGGCCTATTTCTCTCACAAATCTGTCAAAATCTGTGTTAGTGAGCATTTCTCCTTTGCCAAGATCCAAAGAATCCTAGAATCCAAGAATCCATCCACCTCACAGGTGTGGCATATCAAGATGCTAAACAGACAGCATGGGTATTGCACAGGTGTGCCTTAGGCTGGCCACAATAAAAGGCCACTCGAAAATCTGCATCCGTTAAAAACCAGAAAGATGCATATCTACATATACAAACAATGTGAAGAATTGTGAAAGAATAGAAAACAAAAGGTGCAGCAGGAGATTGAGAGAAATTGATTCTCTGCTGAGCAGGTCTTCAAAGTAAGAGGTCCAGGTGAACTCTGCATACAATACATCTAGCTCCCAACCATGCCCGTGCCCCCCTCTCCTGTCTGGGTCATGAGCAGCGGTGAGCAGGGATCAGAGGATCAGAAGACCAAGCCCTTACCACTCAGGCAGTGAACTCTTCACAGGAATGTCACAGGAGTTTTCATGCTGAAGATTGCCTCTCTGGTCACTCACCTGCAAAGATTCATATGGCCTTGATAATTTTAGAAAATGCTGTGTTTCTTTTTATGTGTGGAAGGGAAGGTAACAGGCAGTCTAGCACTAGGCAACCAGGCAAGGGACAGAGTCTATAAAAATAGGCAGCAGTGAGACACACCTGAGCAAGCAGAGACCAGCCATTGTTTGGTGTTTGATTTGCTTCTTCATGTCTGTTAAAGAACTAAAACTTGGGAGTGTTTGCTGGCACATCAGCCAAGAAACAAGATTCCAGTCACTTGCATGTCTCTGACCTGGGGAGAGGACTGTGTTCTAGTCTAGGTACTTATTAGATTGAACTAATCATTAGAAAGGTCCATTTTTTGTTTTATTTTTCTTGTGAGGCTTTCTGCTGTGCTAAATGGGAGACTGACTGATGGCCATCATGTGTGCTTTATTGTGTGGTTTGAGTCACCCTAGCACTCTGTGAGTAGGTACATTTGAATGTTGTAGAACAGTTTTGGTTCAATTTGGTATGTGTGTAGTGGTGGTTTATTCATAATCATATATTTTTTGGCAATTTCCTGTAGAGTGGGGTCTAGTCCCGTTGTTTATTTTCTTTGCTTGTTCATTTATTGTTGATTTGATTTATGTGATTTATTTTAGTGGTAAAAATTTACAATTCACTCCATCCATCCTTTACTATGCCCCACATTTAGGCATCCTTATGAAACTCTAGGCCTGATACCGACTACAGAGTTTTCTACTTGACTAGTCGTCATGTTTTTAATATTTATTTATTTATTCAAATATATTTTCAACCCGTTCTCACTCTGAAGTTGTCACATATGGATGCATCGCCAAGACCCATTGGCATCACTTTGTATCGCACCGGGGGAGCCCTTAGCGTCATAGTTCAGCGCACTAGGAAAAGCCCTGTAGTGTAATTTTTTAATGCTAAAGGCAGTTGTAGGATATTTAACAGAAAAGCCTGAGTAAGGAGGTGTTTGGAAACCGGACTTTCACACAGGAGACCAGTGTTTGTTCGAATCAAAAAGTTAAGGTTACGTTAAGTGATGTAGTATAATAATAATAATAATAATAATACATTTTATTTGTGGGTGCCTTTCATAGCACTCAAAGACACCTTACAGATTAAAACAGTTAAAATACATTTC